CTTACATTGTATAACTGTTTATCACTCTGGAGAGAATAAAACTGCAAGTGGCCAGGTTTTCCATTCAAAACCAAAGCTTTAGTTCTTGGATCAATCATCAAACCTGTAAAGATATTGCTGTCTGCAAAAGAAGCGACAAACAATAGTTGAAATCAGACAAATAATTCATTTTTTAAATGTACACAATTCCAAATCCACTGTGTTCTATAATACCTTTCACTAGGCCTTGAATTACTGCGGATGCCTCCAGGTTTCGGTGAATGACTATTATCTCTGTGGGAGAAAAAAACATAGTCAACATAAATACTTCAGAACTTCAAGTTAGAAAAAAATTAATTGAATTTATATTATGCTGAAATATATCAGAATACAAAACAACTGAATATGTTCAATTTACTTGGAGTGTTACTAGAAAATCAGGAATATATTTTGTGATTTAACCGAAAAAACTAGGGGGCTTTTTCTGCTAGCGTCTCTAAGTTTTATCAGTTGTGCCTATAAATACTTTAAGTGTTAATTCAGAAACCTATATACCCTGAAAGAGACAGATACTTTACTTTGAAATGAGTCACTGCACTAATGGATTGCTCACAGTTATCCTTTTTGAATGGAAAGGAGGCAATGAGCTATGGGGTCTACATCTAGGCTGAGAAGCCCCGGGATGAGCAAAGCTTTGGAGGAATACAAGACAGCCCTCACGTCTGTCAGAATCCACAGGACTCCCACACTGAGAGAATGGCCTCCTCAAAGGAGAATCTCAGTGTTCTGCTGAAAATGCCATTAGATCTGTGAAAGCACATATGCCTGCTTCAGAACCCTTCCTCTACTTCCCCACATCATTCCACATGAAAAGGTTTTGAAATATAAGCAACACAACAAAAATACAATCCATTTAGCTCTACATTTTCATAATAATTCTGAAAATGTTTGATTTTGGTGGCATCTAGGGGCAGAAAGGGGAGAGAAATGGAGGAGGAATGGAAGAAAAAAATGTTCATTAAATCTAGTGCTACTCTTAGTCTGAGGTTTCTTATTTTCCACTCACCACAGATGCTAGGTAATTTAGGCATTACACAAATTTATTTCCTCACAACAACAGATTCAGCCTTACTATTATCGGAGTGAGAAGTACAGAACAGGTCCCCTGCCGGTGAGACTGAGATGTGTTCAATAGTAGCTCCCAGGCGGGGCAGGAACTCCTTGTTCTTCTCGGTCGCATCTCGCCACTCGACCAGCACAGATTCCCGACCGCCACTCAGCAGACTGGCGCCTTTCCATCCAGGCAAGAAATGAGAAGGGCAGTGTTTTGGGGAAAAAATAGAAACAAAACTATTTTTAACAATATGCAAAAAATGTCTTCAGATCTTCTAATATACTCTTAAGACAAAAGATTTGAAGACCACTGGTTCGAGGATTTTTCTTTCCATTAATACCTGACTAGTTTGTTGCTGACCAACGAATTCTGCTGCTGATAACTACAAAAAGTGGATGCAACAAACATCCTCTAGGCCCAAATGGCTTCACTGCATTTTTCCAAATAATTAAGGAAAGAAAACCAATTTTTACTCTTCCAGGTAACACAAAAAAAGATCACTTTCCAATTTGTTTCCAAGGCCAGCATAATTCTATATTAAAACTAGTACATAAGAAAATTACAAGCCAACTTCACGACAGACAAGAATTCCCGAACAAAATACTATTAGCAAGCTGAATCCAACGATATATTAAAAGGAAAAGACTGTAGAATTGAGTTTATTGCAGGAATGTGAGATTTTAACATCTGAAAAATAAACCAATGTAATTAATTCCATTTATAGAATAAAGAAAAAATCATGAATATCTTAATAGATGCAGAAAAATAACTAAAGAAAGCTATAGAAAAAAACCATTTTAAGTGCTAAAATATTGAAAACTTTCCTTCTGTGATTGTGATCACTTTATTTAGTATTAACTAGATGTCCCAGTGCACTGAAATGAGACAAGAAAGGTTTAAGGAATGGAAAGAAGCAAATAATTATTTCAGTGCTCACACACAGCATGACTGGGTTCAAGGTACCCAAAAGTTTATACTGTCCATAATCTGCCTTAACTTAAAAACAGTTCTTAGAACAACTATAATTTGTAGTTTGTTTTCCACAGGTAACTAATTTCTATTAACTCTCTTATACCTATACAGGGCCATATTGATAGTTCACTGACAATCATGTACTGTATTTAACCATGACTCTTCATTTACAAATATTCATTACTTAAAATATAAAATCAAGAATTCAACTCTCTAGTAGCCAGGATTACCTGCAATATCTCCTACACCAAAGCCCTGGCTCAAATAGAGGCACTTTGTATTATTTCTTTCCCTTTCTTTGAGTAGTTTTAAACTAATCAAGCTATTCATTCCTTCTTCCTCAAACCCCACCTGAAAAGGCCAATCCTGAACATCCAAGGGCTTAAGGGCAGGTAAGGCCACCGCAGAGACTGCCAACTAGTATGAGAGGAGATGGAGAACGGCACAAAACGGGAAAAGTGACAGTAACGATAAGTATCAACTGATCTGGGCCCTGACTTGGGCAAGGGCTACAGCAGAGAAGAAACTGAGGAGGAAAGGCAGAAGCAGCGATCTTAGGTTAGGAGGGAATAGAGACCCTGTCTGAACACTACACATGGGTATACATATGCAGGCCACACACACACACATCTGTATTAGGGGGGCTGGGTTAGGGAGGAGGGTGGATAGAGTAGCCTGTATCTTTTATCTCTAGGGCTAATAGCCTCTTCCTTTTCTTTCTAGTCTAAGTTCCCACGTGTCACAACTGTATTCCTGCTGCATTGTTCTAAGTGCGGTAGGTTGGGCCCCACCCCCGTATCGCAGTCACTGCTCCCCAAACCCAAAGCACAAATAGGCCAAAGATGCCTCCTACTTCCTGAGGCTCCAGGAGGTAAACCCCANAGCACTCTAGTTAGCTGCTGGCCCCACTGAGCCAAGGCTACCTTTAGAGAAAGCATAAATTATTACTTAAGTTTATGTAGAAAAACTTGTTTAAATTAAAAAACAAAACAAAAACTTCACAATCCCCAAATTATTTACCTACCTTATTTTCCCAGCTCGTTGACAAAATGTACGTTTAAGTTCCCATGTCTCTGAATCCCATATTGTAACAATTTCCTCAAAACTAACTGCTAGTAAAGAGCCATCTTCGGAGAAACAACAGTTCGTAGCTTGGTATTTGTGGTAACTACCCACGAAGTCACAGGTCCAGCCAACAGCTTGTTCTGTGGAAATACAGACCAGAGAGTTCAGAAATGGTATAAATGCCAGATAACATTTTAGGCAAGTTATAAGCAATAAGGATTAAGAAACAAAGAAACACAATAAAAAAACCCTGCTCCCCAAAACTTGAGTTTGAAGTCCTACAAAGCACAGGACTGCTTGGAAATTTATGCAGTTCCTGAAGACCCTGACCTCCCTCTAGTGGACCAGTGAGAGGACTACCTGCAAAAGCTCTTTTTACTACAGTACCCTCACCAAACTGGCATCATCAGCACAGGTCACTCAAGAATGTCATTAAAAAAGTACAGATTAGGAGAAAAATGATGTGAAAATATAATCTCTTAAATCTTTGAAAATTAGGCAATATTTTATAGAATTAAACAAGGTAGAAAATGTCCTCCCAGAATGAATACAATTCATAGAAGAGATAAATAAATCATTTCTTAAAACTGTGTACTCTTTAGACATAGATTTACTTACTGTATATATCAGAATCATCTGTTAATATCCACACTTTGAAGTGACCATCTTTGCTAGCTGTAACCAAGGTGGGGTTTTCAGATTTTTCTGCATTACAGAAACAGAGAGCTGTGATGTGGTCATCATGTGGCATGTTAATCTTTGTGTTAAGAACAAACCTAGTGGGAAGGAAACCACCAATTTATTCTCCTACCAGGACAATATGATATACTGTCATATAAGAATGTCTTGCTGTACATTTTACAATAGCATAAGATAGGGCAACTAATACATTATCACCTAGCACGGCAGACAATTGAGTGCTCTGTCTCTGAAGGCCACAGAATGCAAAGTTCTCACATGATCTCTATCCTTGTGTAACTTACATAATATAAATGATCATGTGTCAACTTACTGGCACCAAATGAGTACAAAATAGGGGTCATCAAAAAATGATACTGAAAGCCTACCATACGAAACTGCAGGAAAATGACAGGTGCCTCACTATGTACTTTTGAAAATAAGCAAAGAGCGGAATGGCTATGAAAGCCCCTACATATGGCAAGAAAACAAAGAAAGAAATCTACCTATTCAAACTGCCCTGGTCAAGATTTAGTATTTACAATCACCCAAACCACCTCTCAAAGCCTGTTTCCAGCTTGACAAGGCACAACTGTGAACGAAAGATAACCTATGCTAGCACTGCGCTCTTTAAAAAACATCAATGGCAAGAAAGTAATGTGGTTTTTATAAAGTTCAGGTTACAAGAGGGGTGACTAGAGACAGTCACTTAATCCCTCTGGGCCTGTTTCCTTGCCTGTGAAATGCGGGACCACAGGCTTATCTTACAGCATTCTTGTGAAGATTAGTAAAACAATAGGTACTAAAGGTATTTCTAGACACACACACACAGCAAGCACTTATCAATGGCTGTTACAGCCATGGTAGGAGAAATCAGTGGGCTCATCTAATCAAATCACACAGGCTACATTACACTAGACCTCTGCCATTTTCCCAAAGAAGGTAGTATATAAAAGAGCAAAGGAACTGAGACATTTGGATTCCAATCTTGGATTTGCCTGGAATTAGGTATTGTCCTTGGGGGTGTCAGTTTTCCATGTTTTCTCATTTATACAATGAGATGTCATTATAACTTGGAGGGGACACTGGTGGTTTCTCAGAGCAGAAAGCTTAAAGGCTTTATCAGAAGAATACCTCCATTTCTCTAAGTCTAAAATTTAACAAAATAAAACATCTTAAATTAAAACCATAAAACAGAAATAAAGTATTTTCTACTTTGAAATGATATGGCTATATAAGTAGTATTACCCTTGTGTTTTCTTATTATATGTCCACAGTTTCATTTGCAATTCAAGCTCAGTTTCCTTTTCTTGCCGTTGTTCCACCGTTGCAAGCCAGTTACCATAGCAGCCAAACGCAGCCTTTCTTAGCTCAATTTGGATCAGACCATGATCATTGATATATTCTTGCTGTATAATATCTAACTGATGGGTTAAAAAAATCCAAAATGCTTATTAATGTAAATACATAAATGTTAAAGCATTCAAGGAATGGTAATTCACCACATCATACATAACTTCTAGACTCTACAGTAACAAGATTTTTTGATAAAGGGAAAAACGAACTAATTGTTGGTTATGGGCATCAAATTTGCCATTAAAAAAATGGAGCGCATTATACAGTACTAATTCTGTAGTGATTATTCTTCAATGGCCTTGAATACTAGTGATGACTATAAACCTATAGCTTATAGTAGTGCCTTTCTCTTGTTTCTAAGAACAAACAGCTTTACATAAAATGTCTTCACCACTAGAAACACGAAGAGCAAAAATACAATTTTTAAGAAGTGAAAAAAGATAGAAATGTAAGTAGGCCAGCATTTTATTTACAGTTGTTTCTTTTATCCCATTTGCTTGTCTATTTACAAAACATGTTTTAATTGACTACTATTTCCAGACATTGTAGTAGAAATGTACAAAGATCAATAACTTTTCCTTTCTTTGAGGGGTATAAAGGTGATGGTNTGGCTGCAAAAGAAAAAAACAATGTCTATTACTACATGGCTTGGCTCTAAATTGTGTTTACTTGGCTATAATGAGGAATACTGACCTATCCAATTTTAAGATTGGGAAGCTGGGAAAGCAAGGAAGGAAGGGAGAGAGAGGGGACGGGCGGGAAGGGAGGGAGTGGAGGGGGGAGAGGGAGAAAGTGTTGTGTATGTGTGGGGAGTGGCATCGTGGAACAGAACTATAACTTCAGCTTTAATGGATCAGAGTCAGATAATACCTAAATCTGAAAAACCCAGAGTTAGCGATATAAATCCGTTTCTCAAAGACATGGAGCTAATGTGGGTAATGGCAGCAGTGCTGAAGTTTTTCCTGAAAAATCAGAGCGACTTAACTCATTAAATCACAAGCAGTTACTACCGATATTACAAAGTAAAACTGGTTTTTAAAAAAATGATGTAACTTCAAAAGAGACAAGTAGTTTGTAAGTATGGCTTTTAATTCCATTTTAGGGTCCTGGGAAACACTTTTCTTGTACCTAAATTCTAACAGACCACCTTATCTCTGTAGGGAGGCAATGTGGTCTGCACCCTGAGTGGGTAAAACGTACCTGCCTGCTTGTTGGTGTGAGTTTCTCTTCTGGAGACCTTGTGCCGAATGTCAATAAACTCTGAAATGAGAGATCGATTAATGATGCAAAAGATGAACTATAGAGTGCAAATTTAAATAAGATGCTACAAGTCAGAAAATGAGGAGGTCAATTTTTTGTCTTGACACACACACACACACACACACACACACACACGTATCTACTTAAAGTGCCTGAAGGGTGGGGGTGGGGGTGGGGGAGGAATAAGTGGTGCTCATACACACACGAGTAAGACTGCTGTACTGATCATAGTAGACAATTTCTCTGGGGAAGCAATTCTTTAGTAAAACTATTCCATACGTCATGAGCTGACTATGACTCTCAAGTATTAAAGCGACTGAAAATTACATGTACAAAGCGATGGCCTTTCTTGAGGAGGGATGGTTACCTGTGTTTTTGTTAGAAAGTAAAACTGGGATCTGTTGAGCCACTGGTAAGCTTCTGAGGTGAATGATTCAGGGACATCTCGTGGAACAAACACTCCCCACTGGACTTCCTCTCTGCAGATATTCTTTTGAATATACAATGGCCTGGGCTCACTAGGTTTAAATACAAACACTAGAGGGGAAAAAACAAACAAACAGAAAGAAACATTTTGCCTGTAAATGTAGTTCTACCCTCAGAGTGGCAGACTAATCCTGGGACTTAGCCCACTGAGTAAATAACCCAGTTCATGACTCTTTTAGGCTCTGACTCAACAAACATCTACTGGGCGCCTACTATGCACCAAGCAGGTTAGGAATGAGGGCTTTGAAGTCGAGAGAGAAAAAAGCAATCCTGGCTCCAGAGACCAGGGCCTACTGCAGAAGACAATATTAACGCATCATTTTGTCTAAAATACTAGAACAGAGATATGTAGAAAGTGCTTCAAGACCATAAGGAGAACGATTAAAGTTTCTCAGGGAAATCGGCTTCAGAGGTGAAATCTCTCTTGGATTCTGAAGGCTGAGTGGTAGCTGGCATCTGAAAAACGAAGGCTGTACTGGAGCTCTCCTAGAACTAGGTAGGAACGCCTACGTAACAAGATGCTGGGGAAAAGCGCTCAAGAAAGAAAGGGCAGTGCCGCAGGCAGAACGGTTTCCAACAAACATCTGATTTGGCGGCAAGTCTGACTCAAATTATAGATGTTAAAAAGAAAGTTTACGTAAGAGATCTCCTCTTACTATCAAATATGATCTGTACTTACGGTCTGAACCCACTGAAGACTGAGAGACTGCAGCAACATTCTCTGAATTCGGATCAGGTTCCATAACGCTAATACTTAATTTTGCACTCCATTCCACTGGGGGAAGAAAAATAGGTGATTCACTTCTAAGAAGAGGTTTACCAAAAGCTTTTTAAACCTTGTTATTTAAAGTAGGTAATCTTAATCTTTATTGGGACAATCAATTCTACTGTTCTTAGGAAGAAGGATTTTACACTTCCAAATAACACTTGGAGACACACTGACATTTTTTGTGGAAGGCTGCGCTAAAGCGAGGGGCAGGAAGCAGAAAAACAAAGTACTCCTACTATATACACTATGAAATGGTTATTGTTTCAGTGCAGCTACTGTCAGGTGCTTTTCTACTGCTGCTAAATATTGTGAGACAGAGTCACTGTAAAGAATATCAAAAAATGTTCTCACACATTCATTACCCAGCAACCACCATGCCTTCCAAACATACACTTGAATGTGTAAACTGCCACTAAGTCCACATCTGTTAGGAGGGTTGTGGCAGGCTACATTCAAATTTAAAGCTGTCAGCGATACTGCAGGTTAGTATGTATTACCAGAAACATTCCTCAAATTGTTAGGAGGATGGAGATATGGAGGGCAACAGAAAATCATACACAGTGAAGACACTGGAAAAGGTGAGGATAATGGGAAGTCTGTTTACTGTCCATCAGGCAATTTATAAATAATCGAAGGCCCAGTCCTCCAAATTTTAGTGGTATACTATACCATTTAAAAAATGATATATTCTTTAGGTAGAGACATGAGGATATAATTAGAAGTCCTAAAATGCCAAAGTTTAATGGCCACTTCCTACTTG